GTTATGCACTACTAACCATTATGCACTGCTAATGACCATATAATGGTTATTTTACACAATCGTTGAGAATTAGACAGTTGAGAATTGAGTCACAGTCCCAAAATTTTGACGAAATAACATCTTTATATTATTTTCGGCAAGTTGTCCTTTCGGCAAACTGTCCGTTCGGCAAATGTCCGTTCGGCAAAATGACCGTCGGCAAAATGTCCGTTCGGCAAAATGTCTTTCGGCAAAATGTCCGGGTACCCATATATGATTTCTGAACAGATTAAATGCAGCTCCCATTATGCTTTGCACGTTTAGAGTTTAAGGTTTGCAAAGAACAACGTTTTTTGAATTAGCTGTATTCATTTTACTGCAAGGTATCGATTGTTGGAAACCCCCAATAGTTCAAACGAGTGCAGGTCTAAACATAAGGCTCGACACATGATAAGCGCGACGTTTGAACTAGCCAATACTTGACACGTACACATATAATATATATACACACATATTTCCCATAAGAACTCTCAAACGGTCAGAAATCCAGTTCACAGCCACTGAACTGTTCAGTTGCGGAACCTAGTAATATAGATGAAATAATTACAGTGCAATTAACAAAACAAGAGCAGAGCCTGAAAACGAGGCAGGAAAAATAAAAAATGGCGGCAGATAGTAGCAAATTATAAATTTTCTTCATAAACTTCAGCTTTGATTTTCTCGGCTCAGACAATGTTTGTTTTTGAAATTACTTCGCCAATGAACTCATAAGATGGGTCGTTTTTAAGTACGTTAAAATATTCGCATCGGATCTTTATCTGTTATACTGTTTTAACTGGTACCAAATGAATATATTTTAATGGTTCTATACAATGAACTACAACAATATGAATAGAGTATTTTTAAAAGCTGTACATCTTCTATCTGTACTCGCAACAACCCTGGCAAATTCATTATTTATGCACAAATATATATTTTTAATAAATTTAATTTTTAGTGCATGTTTGCGGAACTATTGTTTATTTAATAATATCGGGTGTCCCAAAAAAAAGTACTCCGGTTTGATTTCTAATAACTTAAAGTAAAGCTATCAAACAGAAATAACTTGCATTAAATAGAGGAAGGACTAACTTAGATTTTGATATATTACAGTTGTATTTTACTTAAAAATTCACGGAGATATTAATGTTCAAAATCGGGAGCATATTTTGGGATGTGTCTAAAATTAGCGAAAATCGGCATATCAAATATTAACTCCAGCGTTTGTTTGCTTAATGACATATCAGGCTAACTTGTATTTCAGCAAATTGTTGTTTGGCTTTGTAAGGGATATGGCGTAGATTTAAACATCTTACATGTAAGTCTTAGCTAATTGTTTCCTGAAATATAAACGTTCGAAATTATGCAAGTATTCAATAGGTCTTTACAAACTTAAAGGTACATGAAAGACCATGCAAGGCGGGCGCTTAAATTTTTCTTAAATAGCCTAATTTTTTAATGTTTTTCATGGGTTCAAAACAGAGTTGATTATTTCTCGGTTAGAGCAGGATGAATATTAGTCTTTAATGAAGGAAATAATATTGCTTTTTGCAAATACACATCACAGTATCAACGCTACTTATTTTGTTACGTTTTGTTCCAAAAATGTTGGATGTCTCTGGGGAGTTGCTTGTTATGTCTTATGGAGTTGTATGGTTTGATTGTGTTTCATTCTCAGTTTATTCTGAACTTGCCAAGATTAAGAAAAGGCAAAAGAGTTTGGGTGTTCTTAACAAGATTTCAGAACGTTGCAGAAGTTAGACAGCATGCCCTAATTCAGAACTACGAACGATCCATGACGATCCTTCGCGATGCAGTGGTCTCATGAAATAAGGAAACGTATTCGTGCTAGGAACACACGCGGATTTCGGACGAATAAATCTTGCTTGTATTTTGTAGATAATAATACTTTGTTTCATAATAAACAATTTGTCAAGTGTCATTTATTTACTGGTAATAGTGCATGTTTCAGTCGGGTAAATCTTGATTAATATTTGATACGCCGTTTTTTTGCATATTTCAGACACATCCAGAATATGCTCCCGATTTTAAACATTAATATCTCCGTGAATTTTTAAGTGAAATACAACTGTAATATATCAAAATCTAAGTCAGTCCTTCCTCTATTTGATGCACGTTTGAATATTTCTCTTTAAAAGCTTTACTTGTTTAGAAGTTATTACGAATCAAACCGGAGTACTTTTTTTTTGGGACACCCGGTAGAATTCTCAAAAATTGTGAAATTAGAATAATTGGGCCATTTATACGAAAGAAAACAAGTCACAACTTACTTAAGATGTGAACTAAAGTTGCGAAGTATTGTGCACAAGTCTGAATCCCTGTCCTTATTTAAGTCATGACTAACTAGAATTTGAATTAAATGTGACCCATTTGCATGAGTGTGTTTGAATATATATTAATTTTGATATTTTTTAAACAAAATAAATTCATACATACAGTGTATGTATAAGACAATTTAGATAAACGAAGTTTAATGGTATAATCAATCCCCAGAGCTTTGGTCCTAAAGCAGCACTTCCCTTGCGATAGTAACATCTAGTTCAGTAACAAGTAATAGTATGGTTTCTCGTGCAATTTAGAAAAACATGCACTCGTGATAGCCTCCTCCGCAGGCAACTGTGTAGTTCTGCAACGTTATTAACCATAAAAGATTTATCAGGAACGTAGAAAATACAAGGAAATACTAGTTCTGAAATACGATGTGATATTTATAATAAACACTGGAGCGTAAAAATAGGGAGGCTTGTGGATAATGTAGGAAGTAATGGGGCTCCAGTGTCTATTAATATCATATCGTATTTCAGAACTAGTATTTCCTTGTATTTTCTACGTTCCTGATAAATCTTTTATGGTTAATAACGTTGCAGAACTACGAGGAGGCTACACTCGTGAGTTTTTTTAAAGTGCCTATGACACGAAATTTAACCCCAAATGTTTATGATTGCATTGTAAAGATCACTTAAAATGACTTAATAATTTCTTTTATAGAATTTTGGTAACTTGATTTAATAAATATTTATTTAACGATATAGTTTGCCCTAAGAGCATATAATGCTCATCTAGAGGGCTTACTATAATTTTGGTAATTTGCTTCCTTTGCAAGATATCCAGCTTTGTTTCATATGCAAATATCACCGGTGTGACATAACATCGCATAATGACATTTTGAAAACGCAATATTTTACCTTGATAAAATATTTTTACAGACACGTACAGAGGGTTAATTACCAGTTATGAAATTAACACATATACAAGGGCAATTTTTAAGTTTTTTAGATACGTATTCGTCAAGGAAAATATACTTTTCTGAAAACTCATTATGTGATGTGATGTCACACCGGTGATATTTGCATATGAAACAAAGATGAATATCTTGAAAAGGAAGCAAGTTACCAAAATTCTATAAAAGAAATTATTAAGTCATTTTAAGTGATCTTTATAATGCAATCATAAACCTTTGGGGTGAAATTTCGTGTCATAGGCACTTTAAAGACTTCATATTGCACACTGTGCAATAAATAAGGACAAGTCCCTTTTAGAGATTTTAAAACATCTTCCATGTACTGCTAGCATATTTATTAAGAAGAATATTACCAAAGAAATTATACCTTCTATCTCTTTCTTCGTCGTGAACTGTCTAAACGCTGTGACCTGAAATGAAGAACAATTTCTGTAAGTGTGGTTTCGCTACCATACATGATGCATCAGCTGGCCTCTGTAGCTCAGTTGGTTAGAGCTTGACAACTGTCTCTCTGTAGTTCAGTTGGTTAGAGCTCGACAACTGTCTCTCCGCAGCTCAGTTGGTTAGAGCTCGACAACTGTCTCTCTGTAGCTCAGTTGGTTAGAGATCGACAACTGTCTCTCTGCAGCTCAGTTGGTTAGAGCTTGACAACTGTCTCTCTGTAGTTCAGTTGGTTAGAGCTCGACAACTGTCTCTCTGTAGCTCAGTTGATTAGAGCTCGACAACTGTCTCTCTGTAGCTCAGTTGGTTAGAGCTCGACAACTGTCTCTCTGTAGCTCAGTTGGTTAGAGCTCGACAACTATCTCTCTGTAGCTCAGTTGGTTAGAGCTCAACAACTGTCTCTCTGTAGCTCAGTTGGTTAGAGCTCGACAACTGTCTCTCTGTAGTTCAGTTGGTTAGAGCTCGACAACTGTCTCTCTATAGCTCAGTTGGTTAGAGCTCGACAACTGTCTCTCTGTAGCTCAGTTGGTTAGAGCTCGACAACTGTCTCTCTGTAGCTCAGTTGGTTAGAGCTCGACAACTGTCTCTCTGTAGCTCAGTTGGTTAGAGCTCGACAACTGTCTCTCTGTAACTCAGTTGGTTAGAGCTCGACAACTGTCTCTCTGTAGCTCAGTTGGTTAGAGCTCGACAACTATCTCTCTGTAGCTCAGTTGGTTAGAGCTCGACAACTGTCTCTCTGTAGCTCAGTTGGTTAGAGCTCGACAACTGTCTCTCTGTAGCTCAGTTGGTTAGAGCTCGACAACTGTCTCTCATGTAGCTCAGTTGGTTAGAGCTCGACAACTGTCTCTCTGTAGCTCAGTTGGTTAGAGCTCGACAACTGTCTCTCTGTAGCTCAGTTGGTTGGAGCTCGACAACTGTCTCTCTGTAGCTCAGTTGGTTAGAGCTCGACAGCTGTCTCTCTGTAGCTCAGTTGGTTAGAGCTCGACAACTGTCTCTCTGTGGCTCAGTTGGTTAGAGCTCGACAGTTGTCTCTCTGTAGCTCAGTTGGTT